TGTTGGTGCTGCAGAAGAGTACCAAATATCCTCTGGACTGCCAAAAGAACAAACAGATATGTCTTGGAGAAAGTGCAGCCAGACTGTGTCTTAGAGGCAAAGATGATAAAGCTTTATCTCATATACTTTATTCATGGGGTTTTCAATGAACAAAGTATGTGAGAGGCTTTATCCTCTTTGTCTATGAGGAACATTTGGTGCCAGCAGTCAGGAGATCAGGAGGTATATTGCAATGGTAAGGTCTACAGTCATGGACTTTTAAAAATTATTAAGAAGCAATGATCTCAGGTTAAGGACTAAGGTGTGCTTGATTCCAGCCATGGTCTTTTAAATCACTTACTATGTTTCTGTGAGCGGAACAATGACTTAAGGATGACAGAAGAAAAATTGATGCCTTTGAATTGTGGTTTTAGAGAACATTACTGAATATCCCATGAACTGCCAAAAGAACACAAGAAGATACAGCCAGTGTGCTTCTTGGAGGCAATGATGAAAAAGCTTCATCTCACACATTTTGGGCATGTTGCTAGGAGAGACTGTTTCTTGGAGAAGGACATCATGCTTGGATAGGTACTGGTTAGGCAGAAAAGAGGAAGACCTTGTAAAAGGAGGAGATGCGACATGAAGATGGCTGAATTTGATTTTTACCCCCTTTATAAAGGGGCAATGTCCCCATCAATAATATCCATAGCAGCAAATAGCTGTTCTGTTGGATGTGCCAACCCCTCCCCCCATGCTCATGCATCTCTTTCTGACAATCATTTGGATCCGATATTCATTGTTGACTCACAGACCTTACTCACAGCTGTGGAGTTGATTGTTGTTGTTTATTGATTGCCATTGAGTAGAGCATGACTCATAGCAATCCTATGAATAAAAAGGCCTGAAGTCTTTCTATAACTATCGACATTTATCAAAATCCATAGAGTTTCCAGAGGCATGTTGTTTAGGAAGTGGATGCCATCCCTGCTTCCAAGCCTGTCTTAAACTGGGAGCTCCACCAAACTCTGTCCACCATGGATAACCACTATGGCATTTACACCCCAGTGGCACAAGGTTTAGCATCACAGCAACCCCAGGTTACCTCAGTACAGCATATTGACAGAAGAATGCTGTACCATTTAGAAGAAGAATGTCCCTCCAATATATAATAACTAACAACCAACTTTTAAATACAAAGGCTCTCCCCAAGGTCTTGTTGATTCTAAACAAGAGTGGAGTTTATCAGGGAATTAAATTGGGGAGTGGGGAGACAAAGAATATCACCTAATGCAAGTCCAGATTTTGGCCTAGCAATCCCAAGGCACAGTTTCTCAATTAGTCCAGGCTCTGGTTTTAGTTCAGTAGTCTTTTCCCTTCCATTATCTGGCAAGAACGGCAAAATCTTTAACTGTGACCTTTATTTCAGGGCACCTCTGGTTACATCTTGGCACAGTTTCTTCATAGCAATGCCACAGTCTCTCCATCACCATTACCAGGGTCTTGCTACCAAGGTCTTGCTCTTAATAGAATCTTGCTCCAGCCTCCCCCAGATTTTTCTCCTCAGTGTGGGAAACTCTTTATTATCCTAGTCTCACAGCTGTTGATGATTTGCAAGACCACTGTCTGTAGTTAAGGTAACTGGAGACCAGAAAGGGCTAACATAATGGCGAAATAAGCCAAGTTTTAAGCTAACACTGCGACCGTCAACCAGGTGGATTGACACAGTGACTGCAGCCATGGATTTGAATGTGTCAGAGATTGTGAAGTTGGCACCGGATAGGACAGGGTTCAGATCTGTTGTTCATAGGGTTGCTATGAGTCATATTTGACTTGATGGCACCTAACAACAATAACACTCACTTTGGGCATGTTGCTAAGGGAGAGTATTCCCTGGAGAGAGACATCATGATTGGAAAGGTGGAGAGTTGGTGAAAGAGAGGAAAAACCTCAACTAGATGGATTGATACAGTGACTGCAGCAAGGGCTCAAGTATGTCAGGGCTTATGAGGATGGCACAGGATAAGACAAAGCTCAGATCTGTTGTTCATAGGGTCACTGTGGACTGTACTCAGCTTGATGACACCTAACAGTAACAACAATGACCCAAGTAAGGGACCACTGGGAATGCAGGAATGTATCAGGATCTGCCCCTGCCTTGCTTAGTCATAGCAGGTTTCATTCCAAGGAATAAAAACCCATTCTAAGAAGCTCAATTAAAGAGGAAGTTTATTATAGGTACAAGGAATCTCTTGGCAGGAAGTTGAAACTGAAATGTCTGTCACCTAATGAGCGTCTTGTTTATTTAGTGCTTCTCTGGTGGCCTTGTGGTAAGGAATTGCCAACCCAAAGGCTCAGATCTCAGTCCACCAGGGGCTCTGCAAGAGAGAGATGGGCAGTCTTCTCCTGAGTGATTTACAGCCTCTGAAAACCCACTGGAGGGTCAGCTTTCAGTCAGATCTGACTTGTTGGCACATAATAACAACTTAACAGAAAAATCACAAATAGGTGACTTTTACAAACAGAAACTTATTTTCTCATTGTTTAGGAATCCAGAAGTTTATATTCAAGGTGCCTGCTCTAGGGGAATTCTTCCTTTTTCTGAAGTTATGCGGAGCCCTTGTTTCTTTTAGCTTCTGCTCCTGCACGATCTTCCTGTGCTATGGTATTTTTTTATTTCCCTAACTCTACTTCTCTCCTGCTTGTTTAATCTCTTTTAAATCACAAAAGCTATTAACTCAAGATATACTTTACACTAATCTTGTCTTAGGAAGCTCTGCGGGCCTAATGGTAAGGAGCTGTGCTGCAATCCCAAAAGACATGTGGTTCGAATCCACCAGATGCTCCATGGGGGAAGGATGGGCAATCTCCTTCCATGAGATTTGTTGCCTCTGAAAACCTGCTGTATGGTCAAGGTTCCAACTTGATGGCAAACAACACTTGCCTTGTGGGCAAAGAATTGCACTGCTACCCAAAAAGCAGGTGATTCAAATCTACAGCTACTCTGAGGAAGAAAGATGTACAGTTTTCTCCTGTATGATTTATGTTCTCCAAAACCCCGCTGAAGGGTCAGCTGTGAGTTGGCTCCAACTTGATAGCATATAGCCAACAACAACTATCTTGTCTCATAGCATAATGAAGACAACCCATTCTCAAATATGATTATATTCACAGTGCTTGTAATTTAGCATTAGGATTATCACAATACATATTTTGAGGGAGCAATATAATTCCTAACAGTGAGTGAGTGCATGCTTTCTGCCTAGCTTTGTGCTGTGTGCTTTCACCATGTGCTATCACCCTCAGTGGTACTCTTGAGAAGAGGTATAAATGCCTCCATTTAAAAGATGTGGACCCTGAGGTTCTGAAGGCTTAATTTGCAAGCCAGGACTACTTTACTGGAGCCTTTGATTTATCCCATGTCTTGTGCCTTAGCCAAGTCCTTCACTGCCACCTGTCCTCCTCCTTCAGGTAGTGAGATGCAAGACTCCATTGGTTCCCTCTTCCATATACCAGCAGCACCTAAAGGTTGAAACCTAAAGTTTCATCTCTTACTCAACCTTAGCTTGCTCACCAGGCCCAGGTGCCCTGTGATTCCACTCCAAACTTTATGATCTAATGATAATGCAAAACCTGTTATCTGCTGTGTGACTCAGGCTGTGTGTCTCAATCCCATAACCAGCATCAGAGAAATCTGTTCTGCATTCCTTGAGTTAGGTGTTCCTGGTCAACCCAGTCAACCAGGCTGCTAAAGGATGGGATGTGGATGCATGACGGGAGTGCTCTGTCTTCTCGGTTGCCTTCCGGGGGCTTAGGCAGGTGTGGGCATGAGGACAGAGTCTGCATGTGGATGTAAGCAGCTTTGTTCGTGAGACAAGTAAATGGGGTTGTGGAAGTGGGGAATGGGTGGCCATATGTAGTTGGACAACTTGGTAGTTAGATTAGCAGACGTCCTGAGAGATGTGGCTCAGCAGAGAGAAGGAGGGTGATTCAGGCAGGGCCAGAGCGTGAGCAGTGGCCAGTGATTAGGGAAGCTCAGGAGTGGGAAGTTCTTTCAAATGGATTTGTTCATCATGAGCCCCACCGGTCAGTCATATTTCCATGAGTGTCCTTTTCCCTTCCAGGGTTAGTTGCATGCCCTTGACGGTGGGGTTTTGGGTGTTGTTCTGTTGCCCACTGTGTTTTGTTTTCTATTATTCCTGGCCCTGCATTGGACATAGAATATGATGTTAGCAGGATCCTGGGCATGCGCTCCAAAGTTCAATGAACTTCCTTCCTTCCTTCCTTCCTCCCTCCCTCCCTCCCTTCCCTCCCTTTTTCCTTTCTTTCTAATTGAGATTTTAATGAAAGTTTATAGAGAACTTGGATTTCCATTCATTCATTGTTGCATATTTTCTTCCCTGCCCACCCAACCCCCAGTTTACTTTTCTCTTTGAAAAAAGAAAAATTCTTTCATTGTTGTACAGGAATTTGCTTTCTAATGGCAGGATGGTTAGAGGCAAGAGACTATGAGGTAGGAGATCAGAAAAAGTAACAAAGATGGATAAGGTTAGTCTCCTGGTTTATTGGAGTCAAAGGCTTGTCATATTGTGCTTTATAGTTTCTGAGCTGCTTTGAGGAAATTAGGGAGCTCTGATGGCCTAGTGAGTAAAGAGTTGTGCTGCCACCTCAAAGGCAAGCAGTTTGAATCCACCATCTAGTCTTTGGGAGAAAGATGGACAATCTCCTTCATGTAATTTACAGCCTTTAAAAATCTGCTGGTGGGTCAGCTATGGGTTGGTTCCAATTTGGAAGCAATGAGTTGAGTTTGGGAAATTGGGAAATTATGTCTTTTATTTTTATCCTGCCTATAAAATGGGTAGAACAAATGTTACCTCAGGCTCACCGATGGGGGAATGGTGGCCTGAGGAGGGGGCTACCTTGTGTAAGATCATACCGTAGCCCCTTCTTACCTGTAAGTGTTGCTTTTGCTAACATTTTCTCTTTTTTCCTTGCTGTCTGATGATCCTTGGGTGTTCCAGCTGAGTAGCTTTTCCTGGGATAACTGTGATGAGAAGGACCCTGCCATGGTCAATAGCCTGACAGTGGAACCTGACCCCGTTGCTGTTCCTGGGAATGTGACTATCAGTGCTGAGGGCCAGACCAGCGTTCCCTTGGAGTCTCCTCTAAAGGTAAGCTTGTGGGTGGGACGAGAGAAGGTGCTGGAAGGAAGGTGCTATGGGCCAGCTGCAGGAAGCCCTGAGGGACTTCTGAGAACTGTGATGAATTTTAGAATCCCAGAATCCTTCGACATCAGAAGGTATATAGATTCCAAGACTTTTAACTCAGATTCATAGAATCTCAGGTTCTTATTGTTGAATCTGAATCTCAGATGCCAGTCCCAACAACTTCTGAACAACTTCGAACTGCCTTGGCCTTGTGACATCTGTGACAGATGGTCCTCCAGCCTCTTGTAGAATCAACAGTGCAGTTCAAAGGCTCTGGTCAGGAAATCTTTGTGCTGCTCATTGCATAATGGTCACCTCAATTGGCAACATTTTAGAAAATGTTGTTGTTATGTGCCATTGAGCTGCCCACAACTCATTATGACCCTATGTACAGTAGCTCTGTAGCCTGCCCTGTCCTGAGCCAGTCTCACTGACTCCGACACACCCACCCCATTGCCCCAGTTACTGTATCAATCCATCTCATACAGGGTCTTCCCCTCCTGCTCTGTCCCTCCATCCTTCTAAGCATGGGTCCTTCTCCTAGGACTGGTCCCTCCTGGCCACGTGCCCAAAGTATATGAGATGGGGCTTCAAAATCCTTGCCTCCAAGAAATACTTGGTTTCACCCTCTCCAGGACAGACCTGTTTGTTCTCCTAGTGGTCCATCGTATATTCAAGATTCTTCTCCAGCACCATAACTCAAAGGCATCAATTCTTCTGTCATCCTTAGTCATTGTCCAGCTCTCTGATACATAGCAAATAATTGTGAAAACTATAGCCTGGATCAAATGTACCTAAGTCTCTAGACTGACATCATTGCTTTCTAGCACTTTGGAGAGGTCTCTGAGAACAGACTTCCCTAGTGTAATTTGTCTTTTTTAGAAAATAGAAGTGGTAAAAAAAGGGGGAAAAAAGAAATTACTTGAAATCTTGCTATTTAGTTATAAGGGCTAAGCACCTTAGCATTTTATGGTACATTGGAACCAGGCTTGATGGAACTGCCTTGTTGTTCCAGGTCTGACAAATTTTCTGACTTTCACAGGTTGCAGATGAGCACTTTTCTGCTGCTTTTAATTTAGAATCCCATCTCATTTTAGTTTGTGTTTTGTGTCCTCTGACAGGTATTTTTTTGCCTTACAAAAGTTCTGACTTCTGCAGGTTTTACTCTCTATTGTTCTTCACTACCCTTGTATGATCTTACATAATTTATTTTGTTATTGTTGTGTGCCATCAAGTTGAATCCAGCTGGCACAGGAGGGAACTGCCCCACCTTCTCAACAGAGCATCTGGTGGATTTGAACCATGAGCCTTCAGAATTGCAGCACAGATTCTTGCCCCTAGTCCATCAGAGCTCCCTTATTTAATTGATACTTTAACAAAAGTTTATAGAAAACTTGGATTTCCATTTATTCATTGTTGCACATTTTCCTTCCTCCCCCGCTCCAGTTCACTTTTCTCTTTAAAAAGATTCTTTTGTTGTTGCACAATTTCCCTTTCCCCTCCCATCCCCTAGCCCACTTTGCTATGCACCTCTTATTCTGGACTATTGTAATGCAAATAATACCTAATCATATATTCCTTTCAAATAGTTCTTTCCCTCATTGTTTCAATGCAGTATTCATTATTTATCCCCTCTTTTCTTAGTTTTCCCTCAGCCCTCATGCCAGTCCTGTTTTATGACAGTGGCATTATGCACTATTTGTCCTTTTGTGACTGAGATATTTCACTCAGCATAATATCCTCTAGGGTCACCCATTTTGTATATTAGTTCCTTGTTTTTTAGTGCTGCATAGTATACCATTGTGTGAATATAACACAACTTCTTTATCAATTCATTTTTTGATGGGCAGTCTTACATAATTTAAACATTTATCTTTAGTGAATATTTGGACAGTCTCTGGGCTATGTTTGCAGTTACAAAGGTGCATGTAAGGGTTTGTAGTAACAAACAGATGCCTTTACTATTAATGTATTATTGGATTAAAGATGGTTTAGTGGGCCTGGCACTGTTTCTCCAGTGTTTTCTGTGTGTATATACAGAACTTTGGTGTGCTGGTGTGTAACATGTCAGGTTGCTAACTGAAAGATGGGCAGTTCAAATACACCAGCTGCTCCACAGGAGAAAGTTGGGCAGTCTCCTCCCTAACCTAAGAGATTTACTGCCTTAGAAACCCAGTGGAGAATTGATCTGAGTTGACTCAGTGGCAGTGGGTGAGCTTGTATGTGTATATGCTAAGACAAACATTTGACTAAGTGCTGTTAGTTACATAGGTAACTCTTTCAATTTACCTACAAATTCAATTTAAAAACTGGCTTGGGACTAGAACTCTTCGAAATTTATAGAGTGCCTAAATATGAGAATAAGCAGGGCTCACTGTAAATGTCCTGTATTCTAACTACTTAGGAGATAGATGGTCATTGTCAGCTATTTGTATAATCTGGTCAACTTTTTTTTTCCTTTCCTGGTACACTTTTTTAATGTATTTATACTAGTGGGATTATGTGACTTTGGCTTTTCTGCATTATAATGGATTTTTCATTCCTCTTTCCATGACTTTTGGTATTGTTGTATCCTGTTGAGTTGATACTTACTCAAAGCAAGCTTTTAGGATAGGCCCATAGAGTCTCCAAGCAGTCATCTTTGTTGGAGCAGATCCAATATTATAGTTCTCTGTTTCTTGGGGATAGAAGGTGCTCCTCACAGGGACCCCAGGTGTAAAGGACACATCTCATTCCTGGTTATTCTTGATGTTAATGAGTTATCATCCCCACTTCTCCCAAACTGTGTGGGAGTGGTCCTATTAACCTAGCAGGATGGCAAAACTGAACATTCCTCTGGAAGGGTACCATGTGTGTTTATATGGTCCCACTTCTGCAAGGGGTCTTTATACCTCATTTGCATTAGCAAAAGTGTCCAATCCCCTTGGTGAGCTATAGGCACCTTATTTGCATGGTCCCACACAATAATTTTGTGAGAGTTATGTGATCTTAGATAGAAATGAGAAAACACCAAAACTTCAAAGTCATTGTTGTTGAATAGAAACAAATACATAGCTGAACCTCCATCAAGTTTTTGAAGGCTGTAAATCACAGGGGTGGAGAGTGTGCTTTCTCCCGTGGAGCAACTAGTGGATTTGTACCTCTGGAGAGGTGCCATCTTTGGGTTAACAGTGCAGCTTTCTCTGCTGCCAGAGCTCATGGCTACAAAAGGCCATAGAAAAGCAATTAGTTACATTTTTCTTTTCCACTCAGTTGAGAGACACTGATGTGTCAAATAAGAGAATGGTTACCCACAGTGGACAGTGTTTGGTGGAGCTCCCCGATTAAAAGAAGCTCGGAAGCAGGAGTGACATCCACTTCTATAATAGCTTGTCTCCGGAAACCCAAGAACCTGGAGAAAGGATGAAAGGCACTCAAGTATTGAAGACTTTTGTTCATAGGGTCATTATGAGTCATCTACGATTCTACAGCACTTAACAACACAGAGACCAGTTGGCCTAGTGGACCGAAAGTGATGCTACCAAGCCAAAGGTGGGTGGCTCTAATCCGCAGCCTCAGGCCTGCCTTTAATTGTTTTTGGTCAAACATTCTTCTAGGTCATATAGCCCTGGTGTGTCTACTTGCCATACAGCGGTAACTGTGGTTGCTGTGAAGCTGAACACTGTGACACTGATGTGTCAAATGTGTTAATGGTTACCCATGGTGGACAGTGTTTGGTGGAGCTCCCCAATTAAAACAAGCTTGGAAGCAGGAGTGGCATCCACTTCCGTAAATAGCTTGCCTCTGGAAACCCTATGAACCTGGAGAAAGTACCAAAGTCACACAAGTGTCGAGGATTTTCGTTCATAAGGTTGCTATGAGTCGCTTACAACTTGACTTGCCAACAACTTGCCAGCAAGTCGAGTCACCTATGACTTGCCTACGACTCGATTTAACAACAGCAGCACAACTCATTTGAGATGTTACCCATCCACCTTGTCCTTTTGTTCTTCACTTTGTTGCTAGCCTGTATCTCTGTGGCACCAGTTTGATTTTGATTATTTGGAAAGTGGTATTTTTATTTTTTAATTTGAAATAAAATCTGTGCCCTTGCAACTACTCTTAAAATAGTTACCACTTGAAATTCAAACCTCGAGTTACAATACTTAAGGATGCTTTAGGCAGAATATTAAATGATCCAGGAAGAACTAAAAGAAGATGGAAAGAGTATACAGAGTCGTTATACAAAAAAGAATTGGTGGACACAGAAGCATTTCATGAAACAACTTTGAGCAAGGGCCTGTGGTGATGAAGGAGGAAGTTCAAGCTTCTCTGAAAGAACTGGCAAAACCCAAGGCCCCAGGAATTGATAGCATACTGTTTGACATATTTCAATAAATAGATGCTGATGCTGCCCTGGACGTGCTCACCAAGTTGTGCCAAGAAATCTGGAGGACAACTACCTGGCCTACTGACTGGAAGAGATCTATATTTGTTCCCATTCCAAAGAAAGGTGATCTGACAGAGTGTGGAAATTATCCAACAATAGCATTGATTTCACATGAAAGCAAGACTCTGCTGAAGATTATCCAAAAACGACTGGAACAACACATCAACAGAGAACTGCCTGAAGTGCAGGCTGGATTTAGAAGAGGCCATGACACTAGGGTTATTATAGTTACTGTCAGATGGATCTTAGCTGAAAGCAGAGAGTACCAGAGGAATGTCTATCTGTGTTTCATTGACTATGCAAAGGCATTTGACCGTGTGGATCACAAAAAAGTGTGGCTGACTCTGAGAAGAATGGGAATCCCAGAACACTTGATTGTGCTTATGCAAAACTTACACTTGGCATTCATCAGAACAGAGCAGGGAAGCATTGCATGGTTAAAAATTGGGAAGAATGTGCATCAAGGATGTGTCCTATCTCAATATCTTTTCAATTTATATGTGGAACAGATTATCTGGAAGGCTGGGCTCTATGA